TCTTTGACCCATTTGAGTGCTTCGACTTGATCCAACATTCCATAATTCCCAGGGGCCGCAGAATCTCCGGTCGTCAAGAATCCAAATGGTCCGAGACGATACTGGATCACAACTACTACTACACCGTGAAGAGCCAAAAGATCGCTGGGAAATGTGAGTGCTGTACCGTACTCGTAACCTCCTCCGTGGATATAAAACAGCACGGGCAAACTCTGGCTGACATTTGGGCTGTAGACATCGAGATACAAGCAGTCTTCACTGTACGTGAAATTTGGAGCGAACATTTTGATATAAATTTCCAACAATGTACCCTGCCAACACACGTCTCCATGCTTTTTCGTTTGGAGAACGTTCGGCCAAGCTTTTGGCGGCACTGGGGCTTTTAGTCTGAGCTCTCCAATCGGCGGAGCGGCGAAAGGAACGCCAAGAAACTTGCTGACAGACTTGAACGGACCCGAGGCATTCGGGTACGAAGTCACAAGACCTTCAATGCCTCCATACTTTGTGGACACTATTTCTGACGTGACCAGTGGCAAAAAAGCACCAATCACGGAAAACATCGAAAACATGTTCTTAAACAACATTTCCCTGTGCGTCGACTAAACCGAAGCCGAGATGTTGATAAATTTCTTGGTCAGTAGCCGTTTTAAGAATGTAGATCCTGACCAAATAGACGTAGCTCTTTAAGAAGGTAGTTACAAAGGATTAATAAACTAATCAAGATCGATGCCCAGGCTAACGTGCTTATATAAGATAAAGTATGACGTAACTACATTGTTCATATACCGATATAACTATGCCTTCATCAGGTTTTCGTCACGTTTATATTTGTGTTGGAAATCTCTTGAACCGTGAAGATTCAGGAGCCTTGCTGAAAGACTTGAATGAATGTAAAATATCCATGACATGTACACTCCAATTCTTGTCGAAAGCCTCTTCAATTTATATGAGTCACTGAACTGAAAAAGTGTACGTAGCAGAGAGCTTTCTCATATGTTGTACTATAGTTGGTAGTCTTTCGTTTATTTGTTTGTTACGAGTGATTTTTCTTCGAGAGCGCGAGCGATGCGAGAGCGGCCTTTCGGGTGTCTTTTAAATCCCCTGTGGTTAATTAATATTCCTTTTGCTTGTGTTCCGACGAACTCAAGATAGTTGGTAACTTTGATCGCAACTGAGCTATATTTCGGAAAATTTATAGTCAGTCTTCTCATATTTCGCTTGACAATCAAATTAGGTTTCGCTAAGCTTTTGGGAGTGACGTGCTTCGCGTTGAGTGTTATAATACGCAGTCAGAGCCAGAGAGAAGACGAACATTGTGATATTTAAATAAACTTATGAACGGCCTCTTGAATCTTGAATGAATATATTTGTACCTAGGAAATCGCCGCTTGTACACCGTGCCGTGATTTTTAATAACGTAATGTTTAGTACATGACTTTTAAGATAATATGATATAAACATCCATTCCACGAGCGAGTTTAACCACCTCCTAGCTAACCTCACATTTCAGATCGCTGAGCTCGCCAACTTGGTCTGTCAAAGTTATCCTGCCCTCATTGCGTGAACGTCGTGAAATTATATTGTGAAAGAGTATAAATATATGGGAATTTCCATGAGAATAGCAATATAAACGCCATCAGCTACTTTCTTTACTTTACCTTACTTTCGTATATCAGGGGTTTCGTCACGTTTATATTTGTATTGTTACATATCTTTTGAATCGTGAAGATTCAGCAATCTTGCTGAAAGACTTGAACGAAGCCAAGGTATTAGGGTACGAAGCGAAAAGATCTTTGATCTCTCCCTACTTTGTGGACCTGTTACCTACTTGATCAGAGGCGAAACTCGCACAGGCCAGGCACAATACAAAAAGATGCTAAGCTTATGACACGATATGACCATATTTGATTGAGTGCTAAAATCTTTGCAGACCGGTGTTATGCACGACTGACCATGAAACAAGGTCGACAGTTCGTCAGATGGCACTTAAGTCATGTGCAATAATGTCCATGACATATAATATCCATGACATGTACAATATTTTTATCGAAAGCCACACTAATTTTTTATGAGTTCTGCACCAATCACGGAAAACATCGAAAACATGTTCTTAAACAACATTTCCCTGTGCGTCGACTAAACCGAAGCCGAGATGTTGATAAATTTCTTGGTCAGTAACCGTTTTTAAGAAGGTAGATCCTGACCAAATAGACGTAGCTCTTTAAGAAGGTAGTTAAAAGGATTAATAAAGTAATCAAGAGTGCCCAGGCTAACGTGCTTATATAAGATAAAGTATGACGTAACTACATTGTTCATATACTGATATAACTATGCCTTCCGGCATCAGGTTTTCGTCACGTTTATATTTGTGTTACAAATCTCTTGAACCGTGAAGATTCAGGAGTCTTGCTGAAAGACTTGAATGAAACCAAAGTGCTAACGGTACGAAGCCTAAAGATCTTCATTGGCTCCACACTTTGCAGACTCGTTACTAACCTGACCAGAGACGAAAGGCACAGGCCATGCCCAACCTTATGCTCCGTGTCACTCGATATGTCCATGTTTGGATATAATTGCTAAAATCTTTGCCAGTCGCCCTGAAAAGCAATATCGGCCGTACGCACGACTAATCATGAGGTCATCAGCTCATCAGATGACAGTTTTACTTAGGTATAAACTCTGAAAGCGTGTGTAAACTATCCATGACATGTACACTCAAGTCGTGTTGAAGTCACTTCAATTTATGAGTCACTGAACTGAAAAAGTGTACGTAGCAGAGAGCTGTCTCATATTTTTACTATAGTTGGTAGTCTGTCGTTTATTTGTTTGACACGATTTATTTTTAGCCGAGAGCGGCATTTCGGGTATTTTTTAAATCTCCTGTGGTTAATTAATATTCCTTTTGCTTGTGTTCCGACGAACTCACGACAAAACAGAAGGTCTGTGAAAAGATTATGTAAACAACAACCTTTTCCTCGACATTGACAGATTATGTAGTTGGTAACTTTGACCGCATCTGAGCTAAATTTCGGAAAATTTATAGTCAGTCTTCTCATATTTCGCTTGACACTGTGAAGGATATGAACTGTTGTCGTGAAAGTTCCAGTCGTATTGCGTGACAGTTTATCCTGTTATATTGTGAGTTTTTTATTCAGGGAAAAAAGGAATAAAAACAAAACAATTTAGCTTGGGTGATTCATCTTATCAACAAAATAAAATAAGCTTGCGTGTCGAGTAATATTCCGTGATCAAAGTGAATGTTACGTTTAGAAAAGGTTGAAAGCCAATCAAATTAGGTTTCGCTAAGCTTTGGGAGTGACGTGCTTCGCGTTGGGTGTTGTAATACACAGTCAGAGTGAGAGAGAAGACGAACATTGTGATCTTTAAATAAACTTATAAACGGTCACTTGAATCTTGACATTCGCAATACCGTCTCGAACTAATCGAAAGTACAGTATATTTGTACCCAAGAAATCGCTGCTTGTACACCGTGCCGTGATTTTTTAATAATGTAATGTTTAGTACATGACTTTTAAGATAGTATGATATAAACATCCATTCCACGAGCGAGTTTAACTACCTCCTAGCTACCCTCACATTTCAGATCGCTGAGCTCGCCAACTTGGTCTGTCAAAGTTATCCGGGTTGCTCTCATTGCGTGAACATCGTGAAATTATATTGCGAAAGGGTGTCAATACGAGAGTTTGCATGAGAATAGCAATATAACCGCCATCAGTTACTTTCTTTACTTTACCTTACTTTCTAATATTAGGGGTTTCGTCACGTTTATATTTGTGTTACAAGATTCAGTAATCTTGCTGAAAGACTTGAACGAAGCCAAGGTATTAGGGTACGAAGCGAAAAGATCTTTGATCTCTCCCTACTTTGTGGACCTGTTACCTACTTGATCAGAGGCGAAACTCGCACAGGCCAGGCACAATCCAAAAAGATGCTAAGCTTATGACACGATATGACCATATTTGGATTGAGCACTAAAATCTTTGCAGACCGGTTTTTAATATGCACGACTGACCATGAAAGAAGGTCTACAGTTAGATGGCACTTAAGTCATGTGCAATAATATCCATGACATATAATATCCATGACATGTACAATATTTTTATCGAAAGCCACACTAATTTT